TCCGATGGCCATCTTCGAGAAACCAGAGTCTGAGATATGTGTTCTTTACCTGGTCCAAAGTAAAGTGATTTTTATTATATTAGATCTATATTTTTCCTGGCACGATTTCCAGAAAAATTCATGATGTCAGTGTTGCAAAATCAACAACGAAAATAACAATATAATACAGTGATAACAAAAAAGTCAGCAAAAACAAATCAACGAAAAACTGGCTCTAGAGGAACATGAGAAAAAACACTACTAGATACAATTTTTGGAAAAAATTAACGAGAGTCGCAAGCTTGCTCTGGCTAGTTTGCTAAATGGGGTGATATTTAAACTATGACTAATGACAGGTGTTTGCGAAAAAAAGGGATTCTGCTAGTGGTGTGAATCCCTCTTGCCGAGCTCTCAGGAGTTCTCGAGCACACAGCACAAACTTTCTTCATCTATTCTAAGCTTAAACTCGCTTTTTACAAGACCTATTACTCTGATTCGATGCTTAACATGATGGAATAATGGTACTTTAGCATCAACTACATTTTTGAATCAGATTTTTAGCTTAAATTATCGCTTAATCTATCACTGGTCCTTTCGGATGCGACAAAAAGTAAAAATAGATCTAAAATCACAGATTTTTTAGCAGCAACTACTTTAAAAGGATTTCCCTTTCAAATGGAATCTCAGTACGCACAACGGCATGATAATTTAACTACTCTACATAAACCAGCACTTACGATGAAATTTTGGGAAAGAGAGAAAATGATAAAGTGCAAAGTTACAATGTTGACAACAAACAACAATTCAGAAGAGCATTAACCAGTTGAATACCTTACACTACAGGTTGAGCATTGTTTTCTCTATCCAGAAGATCAAATGGTATGGATCCTAACGTAGGTTCACCAAATAAACCAAAAGGGTCACCTTTCCTTTCACTTAGACGCTCTAGACCTTCCTTGGCAAGATCACTGATATCCTGAAAAAAAGTTACAGTTACAAGTGATGTCTTAAAAATTATCAAAGCAATACCTTCGGAGGCTCATAATGTAAAGCTGATGTTCGCGCAGCATTCATTATAGATTCAAGGGCTCCGATAGTTTGTGAAAGCTAGAAGCATAAAAGTCAAACCAAACATAAGCCAGCACGAGCTACTACTCTAAGTAGGGACACAATCTTCATATATCAACAGTCGCTACGACTAACCTGATTTTGTACAATCAGCTCTTTTGCAATCGCTGTTTTCAAGCTGATTGCTAGTTTCGCAACTTTTGGATGTAATTCCTCGTTTGCGTAGACATCTGAAGGAAAGTCCTTAAGTCTCAAAAAGACGTTCAAGAAAGAGTGTTACACCAACCAAAAAAACCTTCGACAACATGACGTAAGACATCAAAATGACTTCCACGAAACAGCTGTCCATGGATGAATCTAAAATCATTACTTCTGCATTTCAAGAGATTCTAGATACTAGAATTAAGTGAAAATGAG